GATACTGAAAATTATAGAGTACTAGTTCGATAATATTGAAAAGAAGATGCATGTATATACTAAAACTTTGCTAATATCTCAAGAAATTTTGTTTGAGAATAGGTGATAAATCTGACAAAAAATATGATTAATATTGAAGTAGTTATATTTGTTCGAGAGATATGACAAGTACATTGAATAAGCGGTTAACAGTAATTACAAGAAGAATGTACAATTAATAGTAAATTACAAGAAGTTACTATATTAATTACTATATCCATTCTGACAAATAACTATCTTAAAAATCCTTTAATCATTAGACATTTATTGTACATACGTAAAAACTTACATTTGTTTGTGATTACAGAAACACAACAATCCATACACTTTAACATGGAAGACTCTAGGGTTATAGGAAAACTATGTATGTAATTCACACTCTTATGGGTGTATTGGATTATGATTTTAAAGGATTTTTTTAGTTGAAAAAAGTCTTGTGGATTTTAAAAGATTCTGCAAGATTTTCATGACTTTTAAGATTTTGTAGGATTCCACAAGACTTTCAATCAGGATTTTAATGGATTATGCAAGACCTTTAAGTTAGGATTTTAATGGATTCTACGGGATTTTGTGAATTTTGCAGAATTTCATAACTTTTTGACATAGGATAAGAATTCAAGATTTTTTTTTCATACATTCAAATTTAAAAAGAGTCAAATATAAAAATAAAAAAAATAATGTCTGGATAAATAATAATAATAATTTTTTTAATATCATGTCGTTCTAAATAGAATTCACTCACATATCTATAGCTATACTAGTCCTTCAAACATTAGTATCTTTTCGCTCTTGCTCATGTGTTTTAATAATAGGCTCAAATTATGATTTTCATTAACCAATAATGTTGAAGATGAAGGTTCGTCCATCACTTCAATTGAAAATTCATCATAATGACATTCTTTACGAAGAAAGTTATGTAGTCCCACACATGCTAAAAATTATTCTAAACAACATTTCAAATTTTTTATAATTTTTGATTTAAAATATTTTATTTATAATTTTATAAATGATTAAAAAAAATAGTGGGACAATTATCCTACTCTCTTATAACTTAATATGTCCCTTCATTTTATATCGGTACTAAAATAGAAATTTACAAACATCAATTAGGAGAAAAAAAATATATCTGAAATTTGTTATAGGTACAAAATAATTTTTTAATTTTTAATTGCTTTCAATTATTCACTCGTGAAGAAATATTTTCAGTATTGAATTCTAAGATATTGCAATGTTTTATGTTAATTTTATTTTTTAAAAAATAAAAATTCTAATTTCATCATATAAAAATTATAAAAAAAATAAAATTCATAGTAAAAAAAATAAATAAAATAATTGTTGAGTCATAAAAGGGGAAGGATAACAATAACAGATTAAAAGAGAAGGAGAGAGATCATAGTTTTTATGTTGAAAGGGTTCTTCCCCCAACTAAGATCCATTTTTATCTCATTCTACTTACAGAAACCCTAACTCAAACTCATCTTTTACATATATATATATATATATATATTATAACAAGGTCTTGAAGATCTATAGTTGATTATAGAGATCATGATATCAGTTTTAGCTTTCACCTTTCCCTTTTCTTGACGCGTGTTATAAAGAAAAATTACTACTTAAAAGTTAAAATTTCAAGTGTTTTCTATGTTATATAACTGAGGAACAATCTCAATTAAATAGACCAAAATAGAGCAAGTCAATTAAAGAGAATGAAGAGAAAAATAGAGCAAGTTAATGACATTATCATTTACATATAGAAGTTTCACCAAATAGCAAAATGGAATGAGAATAGTAGTACAGTATTATATATAAGTAGTAGTGCAGTATTATTAATAAGAGAAAAAAAATGGAGAAGACATGAGCATAGAAAAAAAAAAAAAAACTGAAAAACTCACTTGAAAATTCTTGAAGCACTTGAAAAGTCACTTCAAACAATCCTCCAAAATCTTATGGGTTTGGATGGGATTGTTTAATTTGGTATTTATAGATACCACTAAAAAGTCCATCAAAATCCTTCTAATACAACAATCATTTAAAATCCCTATATTTTTTAATACCAATAGATTGTTTTTAAGTTGTAAAAAGTTTCAAATTAATACCAATGGATTTTAATGGACTCTTTAAAAAATCTTGAAAATTCTGATTGAATACCACTGAATTGTTTTTAAGTGACATAAAATCCTAATTGAATACCAACAAAATTTTTTACTTAAAAAAAGTTTTTTAAAATCCTATGAAATCCTAAACCAATACACCTCTCTTAAAGTAGTTATTATCTCTTGAATTTTTCTACCTATGACTTTTTCTACCTCTTCTATTTATAACTCTTTCTTTTTATTGCATTATTCTACATCTGGGTAATTTATTCTTTCAATAATTATGTACTTTTTTCCCTTTAGTTTTTTTTTTTAAAAAAGTTCTGTCAACTTTCTATTTCTTCTCCTTTCGATGACCCATTCTTATATTAATGTCCATGTTTGATATTTCTATTTAATTTATAAAACCAATCTAAAAACATATTGTTTAAAATATTAAAATACTATAAGTTATATTTGTTCAATTTTATAAATTTCAATTGATATACTTTGATAAAAAAAATATAAGAGTGTTATATATAATTAAGGTTTAAATGCTTGTGCGTGTTTTGTCGGAAATGCCCCTACATTGGTGGACCGAGGATTTTTCCAGAGGATCGTGGCTTGTGATTCTATCTTTTGTTGACGGAGTGCTTTGTGTTTGATGAATGACCGGGGTTCTGGTGCTGACTTGTCTGGTCTTGTTGACTTGTATCATCGGATCTTTATTGAGAGGGGTGCCTACCCCTTGCTTGTAGACGATTCCCTGAGCTGAGGACTTCCCTATGTTCCTTTTGTTTATTTTTTATTTTTTATCGGCCTTAGCTTTTCTTTTGTTTTTTTTTTGGTACGAGGGCTTTGCCTTTTTCTCATGTTTATATATATATATACATATATTATATATGTTTTGGGATAATGGATGCATGCTTTGAAAAATACGTTTTATTGTTCTTTTTAGATAATTCCCCTTAGATGTAAAAGTTATTCTATGCGTCCTACGTACACCATATGCACATAATAAACCCTTTAGATATTTTTATTATCGAGCGACATTTCATTACTTCCTTTTTTCAGAATCTTCTGCGTTGTCCTTGCTTGTCAGAAATTCATGCAATGTCTTTCTTTGTTCATTTGTTTTTCCTTTATAGGGCTGGATTGACTTTCATTTAATAATAAAAAAACGTCATTCAAACATATGAGCCAAGAGAAATGGAATTTTTATTATAAGTCAAGAAAGGCTTCAAGAAAGGAATTACAAGATAGGTTTAGTAAGAAGGGTTGGTCAAGGTAGGTTGGTGTTTGGGCTCAAACAAACATGTCTTTGAGAAACAAAGCTAAATGTCCTCCTAGTTGTCCGACCAGTATTGCTTGGGCCTTTTCTACCAGATCTTCCCGAGGGCTAATAGGGTATCTAGACTGATATAGATGTTTGTTGCTCGCTATTTATTGAAAAAAATTTTGCGAGAAATTGTGTTCAAGTGTAGAATTTTTTCACGGTATTGGAGTTTACTGGATAGACAAGTTCTTCGCCATCCATGTTGGTGAGAATCAATGCTCCGCCTGAAAAAATCGGCTTTACTACACATGGACTCTCGTAATTTGGTGTCCACTTTTGTATTTTATCTTTCTGAGTTGGTATGAGCTTTTTGAGCACGAGATCACCTTCTTGAAAGTGTCGGGGATGAATTTTCCTGTCGAAAGCCTTTTTTATTCTTTTTTGATAGGTCTATCCATGATAGATATCGTCCAACCTTTTCTCTTCTATGAGATTCAGTTGATCAAATCTGGTTTGCACCCACTCAGCTTCAGGGAGTTTTTCTTCCATGAGTATTCTTAAAGAAGGAATTTCCACTTCTATAGGTAGGACTGCCTCCATCCCGTATACCAAAACGAACGGATGTCCTATATCCATGCAAAGTGAACGATAACATTTCATGCCAATCTTTATAGGTGACGACCATCTTTTGTATAATCTTCTTGATGTTCTTATTGGCCGCTTCAACCGTCCCATTCATTTTTGGTCTATATGGAGAGGAATTATATATGATGTTGAATTTTGAAGGAGCTACATAGTTCGGTCATCATCTTATTGTTGAGGTTGGACCCATTATCTGTTATAATTCTGTCAGGGATTCCATTTCGACATATGTTTTTCCTGACAAAACTGACTACCACTTTATGGGTTACATGTGCATATGACATGGTTTCGACCGATTTAGTGAAGTAGTCGACGGCTACAAGAATGAATTTATGTCCATTCAAAGCTTTGGGTTCAATGGGTCCGATGACATTCATGCCCCACATCGAGACTAGCCAAGGTGACGTCATTACATTGAGCTCGTTGGGTGGGACTTGAATGTTATCAATGTATACTTGGAATTTCTGACATCTTGCATACAAGATACAATCTTTTTCCATGGTCGACCAGAAATACCCTGCTCTAATAATTTTCTTTACCATGACTTGACCTGTCATATGGGTACCGAAGGTTCCCTCATGGATTTCCTTCATTAGGGATTAGGCCTCCTTACGGCCAACACACCTCAAAAGGACCAAATCAAAGCTCTTCTGGTATAAGATGCCCCCTTGCAATGAGAATCTAACAACTTTGTGTCTGATTGTCTTCTTATCATTGTCAGATGCCCCAACCGGGTATTTTCCTCCTTTGATGTATTGTTGGATGTCAAAATACCATGGATCGCCATTGTCATTTTCTTCCAACATGCAACAATGAGCTTGCACTTCATGTTGTTTGATTCTAATGACTGGTATTTCACATCCTTCTTTTATGGCAAACATGGATGACAATGTGGCTAAGGCATCTGCCAATTGATTTCCTTCTCTTAGGGTATGTTAAAAGTTGATTGATTCAAATTGGGGCATCAAACTTCATACATATTCCCGGTAAGGGATTAATTTGTGATCCTTTGTTTCCCATTCGCCCCTTAATTGATGTATCACCAAAGCCAAATCACCGTAGACCTCCAATCTTGCGATGCTATGGTCGAGGGCAGCCTGTAAACCCAATATGCAGGCTTCATATTCAGCCATGTTATTGGTATAGTCAAAATCTAATCTTGTTGTCATTGGGATATGTTTTCCTTGGGATGACATCAGTATGGCGCCTATCCCATGTACCATTAGATTTGAGGCTCCGTTGAAGAACATGGACCAGGATTCCTTCTCAACTTGTCCTTCTTCATCGTTTCCCAGGGTTAAAATTTCTTCATCTGGGAAGTCATCCTCTATTGCACGTCCTCCATCGGTTGATCCATTTGCTAGGTAGTCGGCCAACACGCTTCCTTTGATTGCTTTTTGCGAGACATAGAGGATATTGTATTCTAATAACAATACTTGCCATCTGGTGACCCTTCCCGTGAGTATTAGCTTCTCAAGTAGATACTTGATAAGGTCCATTTTAGATACCAATTACGTGGTATGTCTCAGCATATATTGTCTTAATCATTCCATGGCCCATACCAAGGCACAACAAGTCTTTTCCAAAAGTGAATACTATGTTTCGTAGTCCGTGAATTTCTTTCTCAGGGAATAGATAGCTCGTTCTTGGTTGTTGGTTTTGCCTTGCTAACCTAACATACATCCAATGGAGCCTTCCAACACTATAAGATACAGAATCAGAGGTCTTCCTTTTATAGGGGGCATCAAAATTGGTGGATTTGTGAGACATTGCTTGATCCTATCAAAGACGGTTTAGCATTCCTCATTCCACTCCATTGGTTGATTCTTTCGGAGTAGTTTAAAGATGGGGGTGCATGTATCGGTCAACTGGGATACGAAACGAGCTATGTAATTTACCCTCCCGAGAAATCCTCTAACGTCCTTTTCTATCTTTGGGGGTGCCATATCTATGATGGCTTTGGCCTTATCCGGATCTACTTCTGATGGAGTCTTGAATTGCTTGAACTCTATGAGATTCTTCAACGTCTCTTCTTGCAATGTTCCTTGAGAAGCTTCAAGGTAGAATCCAGACAAGTTGAAACGCAAATGAAGAACAAGGTGAACTAAGCTTCTTGGGAAGAAGAAACCTAAGCCTAGAACTACAAAGAGGATAGCTCAAAGCAATTTGGAGAAGGAATTCTCCTAGGGTGACCTCCGCTAGAGAGAAAAGCTTTCTCAAAAATGGAGAAAATCTCATTCAATATACCAAAAGTGTTGAATTTACACGACCAAAGTAGATTTATAGGCCAAGGAAGAGTGCTAGGGAAGCTAAGCTAACCTAAGGTTTAATTCAAACCATGGTATGCTTAATTAAACCTTAGGCGCCAAAATTTGAATGTTTAAACTCAAATTTTGGTGCCAAGTTCCCTAGAAATATGGAATGCCATGTGCTAGCTTAATTTGAATGTGATTTAGTATTCATTTAGTAGTGAATTTCAAACCCATGTGCTTCACACACATGGTGTGACCGAAATGCACCCTAAATGCAATACTAAATTACATTTAGATATAGATGCACATGAAATTCTCTTAACCTAGAAATCTTAATTCAAATTACATGAAAAATTAAAATTCCTATTCTACTTGGCCCAAAATACAAGGCCCACAAACAAGAATTACAATCTCAATGGGCTAAACCTAATCTACATAGGCTTTAATGCACAGCCCAACTAAAAAGTACTATGGGCTTTTCTATAGTATTAGCTCATTCTTCACTCATCCTCTTGACCATGGCCTTAGCGATTGGGCCCATGGGCCTCCATCAACTTTGATGGCATCCTAGCTTGCATGAACTTGAGATGATCAACACAGAATAGGACGCCTTTTCCAAGGATCAAGTTCGTCAAAGGTGGCACAAGGTTTTAGGGTGGATGATGATGGAATGGACGAAAATGGAGGTTGGGTAGAAGGTGTTTGAGGAAATGCTTGAGAAGGGTACTCTAGGGTTGGCTCACTTCATGATGATGAAGGCCACTTTTAGGGTTGTTTCTCTCAAGGTGGAGATGGGAGGGAGGTGGCCGAATTAGCCAAGGGTGACTAAGGAAAGATATAAAGGCACAAAAGGCTCTCTTTATATTCAATATCCAAAGTATTTACAAGGTGTGGTGCCTAGGGTATTTATAGGAGTGGGAGGCATCTAGGGTTGCATTTAGGGTGCCAAATGCACACCAAATGAAACCCAAATTAACCCTAGATGCAACTTGGTGGCCAAGGATGGAATCTTTGGGTTTAGTTAGGCTACATCTAGGTGCATGATAAGACCATGCAACCTTTGCCCTCCACTTGGGCCTAAGCCTTTCTAAGTCCAAAAATAGGTCCAAACACCACCAAAAATGTGTCTAGCTCCCTAATTAAATACCTTAGCCCAAAATTAAAAACCTATGATCTAAAACACCCCATAATACAAGGGTAAAATGGGAAATACAAAAGAAAATAAATCTTATGACTAAGATACCCCAAAATACAAGGGTAAAATAGGAAATTAAAGACAAGGGCAAAAATAGGAATAAAAATAAAGGCTATAAAAACTTAGGAGCTAAGGCCCAAAAGTAGGCTTACTCCTCCTATGGTTTTTCAACACTAACCCATTCCTCTTGCCTCCTTCAATATATCACCTCTTGGACTTCTTGGCCTTAGTGTTATTCCATCAAACTTCTATCCCTTTTTCACTGACAATGAATCCAAGGAGTATTCTTGATTGCACTATGAAAGTACATTTAGCAGGGTTTAGCTTTATTTGATACTTACGAAGTTGATTGAATAATTTTTTCAGATGAGTGAGATGATCACTTTCATTTTTTGACTTGGCGATCATGTCATCTACATACACCTCGGTTTCTTTATGAATCATGTCGTGAAATAGAGTTACCATAGGCCTCTGATAAGTTGCCCCCAACATTTTTCAAACCAAATGGCATCACTTTGTAACAGAACATGCCCCAAGGAGTGATGAAAGAAGTCTTCTTGCGATCCTCAATAGCCATATTGATTTGATTATATCTTGAATATCCATCCATAAAAGAGAAGATAGTGTTTGTAGATGTATTATCCACAAGTACGTCGATGTGTGGCAATGGGAAGTCGTCTTTAGTACTGGCTCGATTTAGGTCTTGATAGTCCACACAAACACGCACCTTCCCATTTTTCTTCAACACGGGCACTATATTCGAAAGCCATTCTGTAACAACCCGCCATGGTCTCTACACTTAGTGGAATCGCACTACTACTAGTGAACTAAGAGAAATATTAACATTGGACAACTCATACATACAGAAATATATATAAGAATAAAATAACTAGTTCTATGTACCAAAACTATAACATCATATATGTACATTCATCCAAAATAACATCACCCTAGTGCCGGTCAAGCACAACCAACAGCTACCTAAGAAGGTAGCTCTGCCACTATGACAAAACTCCTCAACATGCAGCGGTCACCTCAACTCCAAGCTAGCCCTGACCTACTCCCATACCAAGTATGATCATCGCAGTTCCACCACAAGAAAATAGACGGATAAGCTACAGTTCAAAAATCAATCATACAAATACAGAACAATAATCTATACAACACAATCACCCAACTACCAATCATGTCCATAGAGTCCCACCATACACTCTATCCAATACTACTCATGCATAAAATACAATCCACCAATCATGAAGCCAAACACCGTACTCCATCATATTAACAATCATGCAATAAATGCATCTCATGACAGATATCAATCATCTAATGCATCGTCACACATACACCTAGGAGATCTCCCTAACAACAGAGTAGTAAAGTGACATCCCATCCTACCGAAACCACCCCAACCGTTTTCATGCCCAATGCGCCTGCTCGGTCATAGCTAAACAGGATATAATCCTCACTCGGGTTTACTCGGATGATGCCACTTACACAATTGGATGTTCGGATCCACCGTCAGGTATAGCACAGCTAGGTACAGGCTTACCACGACCTTGGCATGCATTACCAAGTCAATTGTGGATTTCGCCCACCGACTATCTGCAAGGATCCATGCACTTTCCCGAGTACTTGGTTAAGGGAATAACCCTCGACCTCATACCCTGCTTCAACACTAGCTAAGGACTTAGAGGAGACTCACCCAAACTAGTGGCCTACTTGAGCACCACTCTCACCCAAAACCAATGGCCTATCTGAGCACCACTCTCATAATCAGTGGCCTATCCAAGCGCCACTCTCAAGAGACTCTATGTGAGCTCTTCCAGTTCGAAAATATTTCCCTCTCCTCAAGTCCTAGGCTAGACACCTTCCATAAAGCATCACATGCAATTATGCATCATACATCATACATGGTCTACCCACCATCATGATCAACAATCATACACATGCCAAAAGGCATCACATGCAATAATGCATCATACATCATACATGGTCTAAAAATTCAACTTTAAACATGCATAACCATCAATTCCAATCCAAAAACATCAAACCCACTCACGCCCGGCGCAACCAAATCATGCCTGGCCTAACCTCCAACCCGAGAGTCCTAAGCTCTTCCACGCCCGGCGCGCTCAACCTGCGGCCGGCCTAATCCCAGTAAGAGAGTTCAAAAACTCTCATCCAAACCAACAAATCCAGCCACATGCAAACACAAAAACAAAATGCATAGGCTCCATACAACACAAAAACAAACTCAAAATCAACATGCACCCATCTGATGCATCAAATTCACCAAAAACTCAATTTTTCCCAAAACCCCGAAAAAATTCCATCGATCCTCGACTTTCATGCATCAATTGAGTCACTAAATTCATATGCAACTAAACAAAAAACATTCTAGCTTCCCTCACCTGAAGATTGACTCAAAATAGCCAATAATTAAGAAGAAGTAGAATTCCCTTCCGAAGCTCAACCCGGATCTTCAATCTTCCCAAAGCAAGCTTCCTAGTCTGAGTTTCAAGAAAAGATAAAAGACATTAGTGATCTAAAGGAGAAAAAAAATCATATAGAGAAATTTGGGAGAGAAAGGAGTTCACAGACCCAGAGTGCTTCTCTCTAAAACTTCTCTCTAAAAACCTCTCTTTCTCCTCAACTGCACAACCCCTATTTATAGAAGTCCAGGAGTGGCCAGAACGGCCCATTCTGCACCCCTTCGTCATGTGCAAAAATCACATGCAGAACGTCCCGTTCTGAAACCAGAACAGCTTGTTCTGGGATTCATCTAAAATGGCTCGGTCTCCATCTAGAACAGCCCGTTCTCCATCCAAAATGGCCCGTTCTCAACTACGATTTACAGGTCAATTTAGTAGTTTGGAACGGCCCGTTCCAGTTTGGGAACGGCCCGTTCTGGGCTACTAAATCACCCATATTAGGCTTTTGGGCCTTTTGAAATAACTTACTACGTTACACATTCGGGATATTGGGATACTATCAAGAATCCAACATCCAATTGCTTTTGAATTTCTTCTTTTATCTTGAGGGACCATTC